GCTAATGTCTCTCACAGTTTCTCCCATATATAGTCACGTCAAAATTTAATAGCAGCAAATTTGAGTGCTCATCCTCACTACTCAAAGAGATGTTGGCTGGTCATGTTTATCTCGGGGAGTGGGCTTACCCGCTGATAAAAAAAAGTCTGACTATCCTAGGATGAAGAACATCATTTGCAGGATTGTGAAACTGGTAACTGCCGAGGACATGTCGAGAAAAGGCATGAGAATCATAGCGATCCAGCGGGTGGTGACGGTGGTGCTGAACCCTGCCAATAAGCAATATTCATTGTATTATATACGCTCACTACAACAACTCGTATGTTAGAATTCTTTTTTCTTCTATAATTTATTTGTATAGTGGTGTAACGCATTCCTCATTTTCATGATTTTGCATAGCAAAGAGAGTTGTGACGGTCTTTATTAATTTATAAAGAACTCGAACGACGCAGTTTGTAAATAGCACCTTCGACAACAGATAAAACCATTAAAAAGGTTGTGGCTCAAGTTTTGCTTGAGCAGATGTCCATTCTGTTTGACTCAGTGTTGGGTACTCACGAATTTGCATAAAGAGTTTGAATTAATTGTGACTATTTACTACTCACCCAGCTCCTTTCCAGCTCTCTGATGCTCAGGTGCTAATCTCCACAGTTGACTGAGCTTGACAGAATTTTTATGGTAACTTCCAATAACAGCTTATGGTATGGCCAATTTTTGGGATTATGTGCTATTTGCTTTATTTCCATGTGATACACACTTTCATAACTATCGCTACAAGGGAATGCCACTTACATAAATTTGTACATCCACTTATAAATGGAAACTGTGGAGAACTCTACAGTAAGAAACGTAACACTTCTTGTTTCGGTTATATTAAATCGGCTTCAGCATGTTGTGCTGTTTCCATAAATGTCAGAAATTTCAATAGAAAAATGCTGCCTTACTTGTAATCAAGAAGTTTACAAAATCATACTGATGTATATTTGAGTAAATAAATAAATAATAAATAAATATATATATATATATATATATAACATAATATCATATCTAAATAGTTCATTTCAATTATATTATTCCACAACACAATGGATTAGCTACTCGTCTTTGTCTTTTTCAAAAGCTTCGTCATCATCATCCTCAGAGCCTCCTTCAAATGCAGAGTCGTCGGATAAATCCTCGTTCTGGATGGTAGACCATGGATAGACAGAAGCGCGCCGTCTTTGCTCTGAAGTAGAAAGTAAAGTGCATTGCTTTTTTTTGACCTTTTTTTAAATGAGATTAGCCAAAGAACCTCCGATATTGATAGCCTGCTTAAGCTGTGCCGTGGAAGGTTTTTCTGGCTTGAGCACCTCAGCCACAACTTTAAGCATTCGTGGCGTGCCGAGACCGGAAAGACGACAAGTCTCTTCAAGACCTTTCTCCTCCAAAGTAGTTGGCTCCGCTTTCTTGTCATTCTTCAGCATTTGGCTGAAAAAAGGCAAAGTAGGGTGGATAGAGCAGCTGTTATCATGTCATTCCTTACGCGGCTTTTCGTTTGAGAAGTATCTGAGCTTGGGGATAATACTTGATAACATCGTTCAAGTCCTCCTTAGCCAAAACGAAGAGCGTTGCGTATCCCTTTGCACGAATAGATGCAGTTCTGCGATTGTTGCCACCGATTGCCAGTAAACTGGAAAAATGGAGACTCGTTCAGTTAACGTTCGTGGACGTAGCCTGTAATCTTGCTCGATATTTGTTATCAAATGTGATTGGTAAGATTTCTTACATCATCCTAGGATTTTTATGAATAAAAGAATGATGTC